CAAATATTAATATTCTGTACAGCGCTTTTAATACCTGTCCAGATTGTCTTCCAGTGGGTTGTATGGTGATGTTCGGCTTATAACTGTGACCTATAGATCGACTCGAAAAAATACAAAAAAAAATAAGTTTTCGGTTCACTACATCCCAAAATTATTATCTGATCATCATCGAAAATTATAGGCGTTGTCCTTGATCATAACTGGAACCTCATGGAAAATTTCAAATCGATCAGCGCTATATTCCCGCCTTTAGGGGGTAACGTGTAACTATATATCTTAATACGTAAGCACCTGCAAATATTTAAGTGTAACTCCCACATCCGAGTACATACGACAATATATCAACTTTAAAGGCCAACCACTCCTCTTGGATATACAATCAACTTCTCAGGTCTATGTCCTTTAGGGACAAATATATACGCCATAGAATAAAAATTTTGTAATTTTTCACACAAAAGTCGGGGTCTATTTGACCCGCTAAATATTGACCAATCTTTATCAAAACAGCCATGCTTATGCTTTGGCCCGATCCCGTTCACCATGTAAAATTGGAGCGACCAGACGGACAAAAATTAAGTATTTGGACCATTTTATCCCCTAAATATTAACCGATATTTACCCATCCTACATGCAAACTTTCGTGAAGATTGGTCCATAACTGTGGCTTGTATCGTGTTTACAAAGTATAATGGACAAACGAACGGACACACATGTCTAGATCGACACAGCTAGTCGTGATATGACGATCGGTATATTTAAAGGGGGTTCTAGGACCAATATTTCGCGGCGTTACAAACTTTTGGGGCTGTACAAAGCTATAATATCCTGACAACATAGTTGTGTAGGGTAGGAGTAGAAAAATTCTTTTTTTGCGGAAATTCCGAAAAATGTTTTCATATGAACAAGGCAATTTGTTTATAAGAATAAAAAGAAAATTTCGTTATATGAAATTGTTATATTCAATTCTTTGTCAGTCAGTTAAAACTGCATTAATTTTTTGTAAATTATGTCTTAATTTTTTTAAAAACAACAATAAACGAATTTGAAGGTGTAAACCTATATCGTTAATTATGACGGTCAGTGTCCACCGAAATGCTAAATATTTACTCTGAAAATTTTGTAAAAATTCCAGTCAATCACAGTTGTCTTCATTAGACATTTTTTTTTAACTTTTTAAAAATAATATTTAACAATTTTAATTAAACAAAAGAATATATATTGTTCATTTGAATTTGATTCCATAAATATTTATATGAGAAAATTCCAAAACCATATGTCAACTTCTTTTATTAAAACAAAATACGGTATTAAATCCACCATTGAAATTCTTCGTTCATTATTATGCAAATATGTGTGAAATGATGTAATACGCACCACAACAAAAACAATAAAAATTATTGGTTTTAGTTTATTGACTTCTTTCAATTTGATAGACAATTCATGGCGTGGCAGCACACTGGCCTCATATGAATAAATAAAGCAAACAATTGCAGCAACAACAACCACAACAGAAATAACCGTGACAAAATCAACAAAAAAAAAAAGCCAACGTTCATTGGTAATTCTCAAGGCTAATGTAAAATTGTCTCAAAAATATAAAAGAAAAAAAAACGAAACGAAATAATGAAAAATAATAGCATGCATGCACCATACAAAAGACTTAAGCAACGAACACGTTTTTATGCACCTTCATTCAATTGTAACAATAAACAACAACAACAAAGACTTAAGACACAAACTTGATGAGTTAAGCTCTCATGAAATGGGCTGTTGTTGGAGTTGTATGTGTATGACTGTGAATGGGCTGTAGTGGTGAGATGTAACATAGCTTTAACTAGGAAGATAAATGTAAGGGAGAGAGAGTGTGTGTGTGAGAGTTGAAATGAATACCTTTCTTTATGCAATTGTAACCGAAAAGACTTAAGACACAAACTTAATGGGTTGCATCTCTCAACAGTGCTTTGCACACTGTTGATAGTTGCAGTGGGCATAACCAATAGGAGAAAGGGAGAGAGAGAATGAGAATTGAAACGTTATGTTATTGATGTTATTGTCTCTCCCACTCAATGAGTAATTAAAGGAAATAGATTAGTTAGTGCTTTTTTTGAGTTTTTTAATTAATTAATGGGTTGGTTGGTATTATTTAAGATGAATAATAATAGAATAATGAAATTATTTATTACGTTTTATTTATTTTAATGATTGATTGCTTTGGAGCAAAGGTTTTTAGGGCAAATTGAATTAAAAATTGATTAAAAAACAATATTTTTGTCTTTGAAATCTAAATATTTTATGAAATAAAATAATCGAAATTATTAAAAAACTAAAATTGATTTTTTATATTTTCTGAATAAAAAATTTTTGAAATTTAGCAATACAAAAAAAAAAAATTACCAAAATAAAAATGCTAAATAAAATTTTGTATAAATTTCAAAAAAAAAAAAAAAAAAAAAAAAATAAACAAATTTTAACTATTAAAAATAATATAAAAAATTAGTTTTTATTACTAAAATTGTGTATTTTTAATAATCCATTGAAATGTGTATAGTTATAAAAAGTCTCCAAACTTATAACCACAAATTAAAAAAAACAAATTAAAAAAAAAAACTCAAAATCAAGGTTCATATATTAACCTTGATTTTTAGTTTTTTTTATTTGGGTTTTTATGCAAAAAGGTGGTAAATATTTGTTATGGCCTATTTGTGTGAAAATAAAATTTATAAAAAAATATATAAATTAAACAATGTCTTACTAAAAATTTTTTGAATCAATTCCCCCCTCCAAAAACGAAGAATGAAAACAAAAAACAAAACAAATAAAAAAATATCAGAAGGGAATAATTCACACCCCATATGTGAATATAAATTGTGTGGCTATCTGCAAGACATAAATATAACACAAGTCAATACGATATTGACCCAATTAAAAATGAATAGCCTGATTCTGTAATCAATATGAATGAATGAACGACCTTCACACATCTTCAGCTGTTATGTGTTGTATATGAGCGTGTTTTTTTTTTTTTTTGTGGAATACCATCACTATATTTGGTCACTTGTTTGTACACATTACCTTATCTTGTGGTTAAGTTTGGTTTTGTATGACTAGGTAGTTTTGTTTTCAGAGTTTTTTTCGAATTTGGTTTTTGTAACAATAAAAATGATCAGTTGGATATTTTGCCAGTCATCCTCAGGTTAGCTTAGGGTGACTATAGATATCAATGGAAAAAAACCAAAATTTGGTTACATCATGTCCTTGGTCTCTGGATGTTGAAGTATTTGTTTGTTGTGGGTAAAGAGAATAGTATTGAGTTGAAGAAAAAAACTCAAGATTTCTGCTCACTCCATACATTGTAGGGGTTATTGATCGGTTGAATTTAAACAGGTTTCCTTTTGAATTGAAATGAAAAAAATAAATATTTTTTTTATTAGATTTAAAAAAATTGAGATTTTTTTTAAAATTTCAATCACTGAATATTTTAAATATATTTTATCAAGAGATTTTTTTTAATAATTTCGAAAGAGAATTTTCTTTAAAAAATTAAAAGTCTGGATTTTTAACATATTTTTTCCAATTATTAGCAGACGCTTGAAAATATTTTTTCCATTTCATGTTCACAATAAGAAATGCAAATATTTATACTTTCAAATTTTCCAAGCATGAAAAAATTATTTAATATCACACGCAAACATTTTTAAATAATTGTGTGTTTTCTGAATATTACATCAATTGAATAATCCGCATAGTAAGCACGTTTTATTTACGTACTTTTATAGAAAAAAAATACAAAGACAGAGAATTTCTGAATGAATGATGTGAGAAATGTGTAACAGTATAAATATCGAGAAATATCAATTAAAAAAAATATTTTTTATAAAATTTATATATTATTGCATATCGAAATCACGTGCTTGAATTTATTTAAATGTTTCATTAATAAATAAATAAAAATCACGTGTTATCAATATATTTATATGTAAAATATTTGAACTTGAAAACGTCCAACAGCAAGCTCTTCAAAATTAAACCCACCCAACAAACCCAAAAAGAGGGCAAGTCCCTACCCAAACAAATATGTGAAACAAGTTTACTGTTCATTGGATTAAAATTTCGATTAAATGCTAAAAAAAATATTTTGAAAAACATGGTATCTATCCCACATAGGTTGCTGACCACTATTGCCTTACTTTTTAAATGGAATATTTCAAAACTGGTATTTTTTCCAATATTGGTCCAAAATATGTTTTTTTTTCATTTTGAATTGTTGAACTTTATGTTAATGATGATGAGAGGTGATTATCAAAAATGTAGGTTAATGTTTTGTTGCGACGAATGTCAAATGGATGAAGGTCACAGCAATGTTAATCTAAATAATAGGTGTGGAAAAAAAACGATTTATAATTTTTGATTAATGTTTTCTTAAACAAAATATGTTGCGATGTAGATATCCATTTTTTTTAATTAAAAAAATGGTTTGAAAATATAAAAGAGGTCATGACGAGGTCATAGGAGTAATATATATATATAATAGTGTAAAAAATTAAAAAAAATATTTTAAAAATTATTTAAAAAATTAAAGAAAAAAATTTAAAAAAAAAAATTTTTTTTTTATATTAAAAAATATGTCTTTAAAAATGAAATATAAAATGTTTTAATAATAATAAATAATACATACGTATATTTTTATATAAAATATTTTTTTAAAATAAAAATAAAATATTTAATTAAAAAAAGAAGAATAAGAATATTTAGATTACCCATATAATAATGCTGGGCAACGTCAGTCGTTTTTAATGGTGGCACACACTTGCTCTCAATTTAATTTTGCCCAACACCTCGTTTACATGTATCCATAAGCTCGTTCTCTGCGTTCTCTTTTTGTATGACATTTCATATGGCGGTTTCTCTTTTACTCTCCTCTCTTTTTATTCTCCTCTCTTTTTGCACACCTCTAATTTAGAAACATATTTTGAATATCCAACTAATTCTCTCTCTCTCTCTCTTTGATTACAGTGTTGGAAACCGAAGTCATGCAACAACACAACTTGTCCGGCCCCAAGGACGGTGAAGAATTCGATCCCTATGTCTGCAGTCTGAGTCCCGAATTGAAAGCCGTGGCCAAGGAGGAACTGCACGAAGATGACAACATTCGTAAACAAGCCTTGGCCCAATTTCGTGAATGGATTGCCAAACATCCACACATTAAAAAATGCCGAACCGATACCATTTTCCTTTTGCGTTTTTTGCGCACCAAAAAATTCTCCGTACCTGCCGCCTGTGAAATGTTGGAACGTTATTTGACAATTAGACAGTTGTTCCCACATTGGTTCAGTAAATTGGATATTGAAGATCCGGCAATGAGTGAAATATTCGATAATGGCTATTTGGTTCCGCTGCCACAGCGTGATGAACACGGCCGTCAGATTCTTTTCTCAGTGGCTGCCAAATTTGATCCCTACAAATATACCTCCGTGCAAATGGCTCGCATCCACTCTCTGATCTGTGAGGCATTGTTGGATGATGAGGATTCTCAGGTGGCTGGGTATGTGTATGTCAACGATGAGAGTGGCATGAATATGGGTTTTGTCAGTTTGTGGTCCCTTACCGATTTGAGAAGTATTTTGAAATGTATTCAAAACTCCACACCGATGCGTCACAAGGAGACACATTTCCTCAATATACCTCATTATGCCAACAGAATTATTGAATTGGCCGTGTCCATGTTGAGCGATAAACTGAAAAAGAGAATTATTGTGAGTACGGGAGGAATGCAAATGACAGATTGTATTTTTAATTTTGTGTATCTCTCTCTCCCTTTTTTAGGTCCACAAAAGCATTGACTCACTGAAGAGCAAAATTGATCCCAAAATTTTACCCAAGGAATATGGCGGCACTGTACCCCTGGCCGACATGATCAAGGAATTCAAAGTGAAATTGCAACAGAAACGGGCTGCCATTTTGGCCCTGGACGACATGCAAATTGAAATCACAAAGGATGCTGCCAGTTTTGCCGGCAATGATGTGGGAGAAATTGATTCGGGTGTTGTGGGTAGTTTTAGAAAACTGGAGGTCGACTAGAAAACCTTCGAAATTCAATCGAACTCTTCCAAATCTCAGTAACAATCCTTAAACAGTGTTTTTAATTTTATAAAAATATTTTCATTATTTTATTATTTTTTTTAATTAATAGTATTAAGTATATCTCATCTATGTATGTATTTTATGTTTTTTAAATTATGTATGTACACGTATAATATATTTTAAATTTGGAGATGAAAAACAGAAACAGAATGAAAACTGCATGTGATAGAGTATGAAAACACCCCACACACCTATTCTCATCATGGCGATATGATTTATTCGTCAGTCTCCCATCCCAGAAAAACAGACACGTCCATTTATGATATTTAAAATATTTTATACCGTTTATTCATAATTTATGAATATTAATATTTTTTTATAAATGAATTATTGTTGTCTATTTTTTTATAATTTTTATTATTATTTTTTTTTAATTTTATTGACAACAACAAAACGAGCGATATGATAAAAAAAAACAATTTCGAAAACAAAAACAACAATCATTTTGTTTTTATTTATTAATACCCTATTTTTTATATTTTATTCTATTTTCAAGTTTTTTTCTTGTCTTATTGTTTACATGTAGTTTAATAATTTAATAGCGATTATATAAATAATTAATTAAATAAATGTTAAAAAAAATGTTGAAAAAATATAAAAATATGTATTTTGTTAAAAAATATTTTTGTTATCATTCGTGGATTTTAAAAAAATAATTTTTAATGAATATTTTTCAAGGACTCTCAGGAATATTTTCCAAGGACTCTCACTCAGGCGTGATTTTTTTAAAGAATATTTTTTTCAAGGATCTGCACAAGGCGTGGATTTTTTAAAGAATATTTTTTCAAGGGTCTGCACAAGGCGTGGATTTTTTAAAGAATATTTTTTCAAGGGTCTGCACAAGGCGTGGATATTTTAATGAATATATTTTCAAGGGTCTGCACAAGGCGTGGATATTTTAAAGAATATTTTTTCAAGGGTCTGCACAAGGCGTGGATATTTTAAAGAATATTTTTTCAAAGATTCACACAAGGCGTGGATTTTTTAACGAATATTTTTTCAAGGTTCTGCACAAGGCGTGGATATTTTAATGAATATATTTTCAAGGGTCTGCACAAGGCGTGGAGTTTTTAACGAATATTGTTTCAAGGATCTGCACAAGGCGTGGATTTTTTAAAGAATATTTTTTCAAAGATTCACACAAGGCGTGGATTTTTTAACGAATATTTTTTCAAGGATCTGCACAAGGCGTGAATTTTTTAGAGAATATTTTTTCAAGGATCTGCACAAGGCGTGGATTTTTTAAAGAATATTTTTTCAAGGGTCTGCACAAGGCGTGGATTTTTTAAAGAATATTTTTTTAAGGACCACCTCACACAAGGCGTGGATTTTTTAAAGAATATTTTTTTCAAGGGTCTGCATAAGGCGTGGATTTTTTAAAATAATATTTTTTTCAAAGGTCTGCACAAGGCTTGAATTTTTTAAAATAATATTTTTTTCAAGGGTCTGCACAAGGCTTGGATTTTTTAAAATGATATTTTTTTCAAGGGTCTTGAAATTTTGGGTGAGGGTCACCCTTGGTCCAAATGTGACAGATAAGGCTGGGTTTTTTGAAATTTATACTAGAACGGTACGAAAAGTACTTAATGTGATACCATTTATATTTGGCGAACTGGTGGAGCTAGAACTCTGGATTTTTAACAATATTTTTTTCAAGGGTCTTGAAATTTTGGGTGAAGGTCACCCTTGGTCCAAATGTGATAGATAACGCTGGGTTTTTGGAAATTTATACTAGAACGGTACGAAAAGTACTAAATGTGATATCATTTGTATTTGGCGAACTGGCGGAGCTAGAACTCTGAAATTTGGTTTGGTGGTCGTTGATGGAGTTTAGGATTGATGTACCAAATGGTTGTTTGAAAATCGAACTATAACTATTCGAAAAGTACGAAAATGTACTAAATTTGGTACAATTCTGTAGCATGTGAACGGAGAGCTATATTTGGTACAAATTTAATTTGGAGATACAAATCGAGGTGGAATCCTGGAATTTGAAATTAAAATTACAGTCGGAATGTAGGATTGGGATATCAACGTAGTTATGGAAATTTGTTACTTATGTGTACGAAAGGTACTAAATCGTACCATAATCGGTATAGTTTGGATTTGGGTGAACCGATAGCGCGGGAACAATGAAATTTGGAGTCAGGATTACTGTAGGGCTGTGGGATTGGGGTCAGGATTCAGTTTAAGAAAATAATACTTATGGATACTAAATATGGTACTAAATTTGGTACAATTTGAATTTTAGGTGAAACAATGGAGCTAGAATCATGAAATTTGGTGTCAGAATCACTGTTGAGGTGTATGATTGAGATTTGTAGGAAGTTATAGAAATGTGTACTAAATTTGGTACAATTTGAATTGTGAGTGAAACGATAAAGTTCGAATTCTGAAACTTAGATTTGGAATCACTGTGGGGGTGTAGGGTTGGGGTATGTATGAAGTTTTAGAAATTTGTACTATGTGTACTAAATTTGGTACAATTTAAATTGTGGGGTGAAACAATAGCGTTTGAATCCTGAAACTTGGATTTAGGATCAGTGTGGGGATGTAGCTTTGCGGTCAGAAGGAGGTTTTAGAAATTCGTACTACTGTGTACTAAATTTGGTACAATTTAAATTGTGAGTGAACCGATAGAGTTGGAATCATGAAACTTGGATTTAGGATCAGTGTGGGGGGTAGGATTCGGATATGTAGAATGTTTTGGAAATTGGTACTACTGTGTACAAAATTTGGTACAATTTAAATTGTGGGGTGAAACGATAGAGTTCGAATCCTGAAACTTGGATTTAGGATCACTGTGGGGGTGTAGGTTTGTCGTAAGAAGGAGGTTTTGGAAATTCGTACTACTGTGTACTAAATTTGGTACAATTTAAATTGTGGGTGAACCGATAGAGTTGGAATCCTGAAACTTGGATTTAGGATCAGTGTAGGGGGTAGGATTCGGGTATGTAGAATGTTTTGGAAATTGTACTACTGTGTACTAAATTTGGTACACTTTGAATTGTGAGTGAAGTGATAGAGTTTGAATCCTGAAAAATGGATTTAGGATCACTGAGGAGGTTTTGGTATGGGTTAAGTTGGAAGTTTTTGAAATTCGTACTACTGTGTACTAAATTTTGTACAATTTGTATTGTGGGTGAACGGATAGAGTTTGAACACTGAAACATGGATTTAGGATCACTGTGGGGGTGTATGATTGGGGTATGTAGGAAGTTTTGAAATTTTGTACTAATGTGCGAATCCTGAAACTTAGATTTAGGATCACTGTGGGGGTTTTGGTTTGGGTTAAGTAGGAAATTTTGAAAATTCGTACTACTGTGTACTAAATTTAGTACAATTTTGATCGATAAGGTTGGAATGTAAAATATATGTAAAAGTTTTTGAAATGTGTACTAAATTTGGTACAATTTGAATTGTGGGTGAACCGATAGAGTTGGGATCCTGAAACTTGGATTTAGGATCAGTGTGGGGGGTGGGATTCGGGTATGTAGAATGTTTTGGAAATTGGTACTACTGTGTACTACTGTGGTTGAACGGATAGAGTTTGAACCCTGAAACATGGATTTAGGATCACTGATTGGGGTATGTAGGAAGTTTTGAAAATTTGTACTAATGTGTACCAAATTTGGTACAATTTGAATTGTGGGTGAACCGGTAGAGTTTGAATTTCGAAACTTAGATTTAGGATCACTGTAGGGGTGTTGGTTTGGGTTAAGTAGGAAATTTTGGAAATTCGTACTAGTGTGTACTAAATTTGGTACAATTTGGATTGATAATGTTGGAATCCTGAAACTTCGATTTGGGGTCATTGTGGTGGTGTAGGATCGGTTTAGGTAGATGGTTGAGGAGGGTACTTGTGGAAATAATGTGTGCTAAATGGAAAATTTGAATTTGGGTGAACCTTTAGAGCTCGAATCATGAAATTTGGTACTAAATGGTACTCAAATTTAATTTATGGTCGATATTAATGTGTGGATGTTTTTTTTTTTTGACATATGCAGTTTTCTCTGAAAATAAAATAATATGTTAATACATTTTTAAATATTTCCTAACATTCGCTAACGAAGTTGCGGGCACATGCTAGTTATCAATAAGGCTGAGGGTATAATGATTCATTGATATGTTCTCAAATATGTGCAATTATCTTAAGGCCTAAAAGTATGCTTTATTTTTTATGATCTGAGTGAATGGTGAAATTAAGTACAGTGGAAATTCAATTTGGAAATCGTTTAATTAAAACTTGGTTCTTCAATAAAAAGGGGGCATTTAAAAAAATACTACCTTTAAATTTATGAAGCAGTTAGATATTTTTATACCCTTCACCACACTGTGGTACAGGGTATTATGTTTTTGTGCATATGTTTGTAACAGGCAAAAATAATCGAGATAGACCCATGGTTCCTTTTGAGAATATGCATAGAATCACTTTCTGAGTCGATTTATGCATGTCCTTCCGTCCGTCTGCCCATGTTAAATTGTAAACAATGTACAGGTCGCATTTATAATCCGAATTGGATGAAATTTGGCACAGCTAATTTGTTTGTCCCAAGGACGAACCCTATTGAAATTGGAAAAAAACGGCCCAGATTTAGATATAGCTCCCATATATATTTTCGTTCGATTTAAGGTAAATGAGGTGCCAAAGTCCTTAAATATCTTTCGATTTGCACGAAATTTGGTACAGCCTACTGAATTAGGTCTAGAATGATTTGTGGCAAGTTTCGTGAAAATCGGTTCACATTTAGATATAGCTTCCATACATAGTTTCGTCCGATTTAAGGTAAATGGTGCACCAAAGTCCCTGAAAATCATTTGATTTACACGAATTTTACAATAGCGTATTGAATTAAGTCTAGAATGACGTGTGCTAAGTTTCGTGAAAATCGGTTCAGATTTAGATATAGCTCCCATATATAGTTTCACCCGATTTA